GGGGGCGGCCGCTCCCAGTCCCTCCCGCGCCGGGGCGAAGCGTCTTGCCGCCCGCACCTGCCTGAGGAGGTGAGAATGACTCATCTAGCGGCCCCGGCAGGGCTCTGTCTCTCCTACCAAGGCCAGCTGCCCGCTCGGGCTTCCGGGCCCACGACGCTGGCATCGGGTACTCACCTTCGCAGTAGCCCACAGGTTAGGGTCCAAATGAGCCTTCACAAAGTTAAGCTGGCTGGCCCACCTCTTTCTGTGCGCTGTTTTCTGAGATTATTCGTCTTCCATCCCCAGTAGTAAAGTGCTTTAAATGTAACTCAGTTTTTGCTGCAGCAACATCATCCCTCAGACTGTTCGAATAGCCAGCTTGTCAGGAGGCCATCCGTTCTGAGGGATAGAGCGTGCATTACACCAAACTACTTGTGCTGAAGAGGGCAAGAAAAAGATCAAGTCATAAAGCACCTAGCAACTAATCATAAAGAAATAACTGAAGATACAAATGATATGCCAAGAACCCTCTTATTTAAATTAATTATATTTATATTTTAACCTACCTTCATTTTCTTGTGCATTCAGTCTGTTTCTCAAATACAATTCACGTCATGTTTTGAGCCTCTGGTATTTGTTTCACTCTGCTAGGGGCTGTAGGAGAGAAAAAAGAACTCATTTTGTTCTTAACATCATGAAACTTAACAATAGGGAATATAAGGAAAATATAGTACTACATATTGCTATCACTTTTAAACAAAGTACTAGGTACTATTCTAAACATTTTAATTATATTGTCATTAATTTTCACACCATCTCTTTGAGGAACTGTACTATTAGTTTCTACATTTTGCGGGTGCCTAAGGTCCCATAGCTAATGTGGTCGAGGTAAGATCGAAATCCAGCTATTCTGACCTCAGACTCCAAGTTCCTAACCATTTTACTGTAGTAATGAGAAAGAACAAGCTGTTAATCATTGATACATGGGATTCTAAAATTAGCACCTATTTCTCAGGAATCATTATCTTTTTTTTCCCCCTTTGCTTGGGAAAGTAACACAGACGAGCAGAGAGCTTTCCATATAGCTTGGGGGCCCAAACCTTCTTTAGGAATTACATCATACTAATAATTTCACTGATAGGGTTCTCTGAACTGTTTTCAGTAAGCATTTCTAGGCTGTTTGACAGACTTACATGGATGAGGAGGCTGTAATGATGTCACCACAGAACTCTCTGTTGGTTAATTTCTTCACTAAAAAAAAGTGTTATTGTGCACCTATAGTACATGAGGCATTGTGTTAAGAACCAGAAGGGGTGCAAACAAGATTAAGACAGAGGAAACAGGTGTTGACAGAGAACCATAACAAGAGATGGAAAATGAGTTGTGCTTAATAGAGGAATGAAATTCAATGGAAGTTCCAAGGAGTAGAGAGACAGATTGTTCCATGAAGGGAGGTGCTTGGGTTAAGGAAAACATATAATTATCGTTTAACTTATTGTTGATACTGAAGTATTATAAGCACTATAAAAATTTATCAAATTCCTTTATTTTGAAAAATTACATGCAAAAATCTCATATTCTGAAAAGGCAGCTTTTTGTTATGTTATAAGGATTGCTTAGAGTATGGAGAGGGTTAGTAAATGTTTTGAAGATGGTTTAACTTATCTCCTCAAGTTGGGAGCACGGAATAAAATGATGATGGCAAAATAAGATTTTCAAGATCAAAGGAATAGCAGAAGAAAAAGCAAGGTGGGAGCGAACCCTGGACAGGGTCAGAGTTTTCTGGAGAATAGCTTTTGCAAGGTAGAGATTGTGTTTTCAACTGTGTGTGTGTGTGTGTGTGTGAGAGAGAGAGAGAGAGCGAGCTTTAATTATGGCAAACATGTGCCACAAATATTCTGGGATGGTCTGAGTTCAGATATTTGATTCCATTATGCCCATAAGTTCTTATCAGTAAGACTGACAAATACTGTCACTCATTCATATTAGTGTCTAGAAAGTAGAGATCATTGCATGTTCATCAGAAGTTTAATAAAAAAGGACTAGGAAAAGTCAGGGAGGGGCTAAATGATAAGGAACTCCAAATACTCAGATGCTTTAATATGGTAGGTAAAATAGAGCCCCTACAAGTTTTTGAGCAAGGTAGTAGTGTGTTAAAGATCACCCTAAACATTTAGAGGTATTACCTTTTTAGATAAAGGGCTGAGTGAGAATTAATTTTTCCGTAAGGTATGGATCAAGATTCATTATTTTGTATATGGATGTCTAATTGTTCTGGCACCCTTTGTTGGAAAGATTTTCATCATTGAATTGCCTTTGCACCTTTGTTGAAAATCAGTTGGCCATTTTTGTGTGGGTCATTTTCTGGACTTTCTGCTCTGTTCTATTGATCTATATCTCCATCACTTCACCCATACCACATTGTCTTCTTTCTTAGTGTAGCTTTATAGTAGATCTTAAAATCAGGTAGTGTGAGTCCTCCAACTTTATTATTCTTTTTCAACATAGTTTTAGATACTCTAGTTCCTTTGTCTTTCCATATACATTTTAGAATCAGTTTGTCTATTTGTACAAAAAATCGTATTGGCATTTTAATTGGAATTGTGTTAAATCTTTAGATTAGTTTGGGGAAAATTGTCCTTTTAACAACATTGAGTCTTATAATCCATGAACATGCTGTATCTCTCCATTTATTCAGGTTTCCTTTGATTTCTTTTATTGGTGTTTATAGTTTTCAGTATATAAATCCTGCACATATTTTGTTATATTTATACCTAAGTATTTCATGTTTTTGTATAGTTTTCATAATTTTGATTTCTGATTATTCATTTCTAGTATAGAGACATACAATTGGTTTTTATATTGACTTCGTATCCTGTGACCTTGATAGATGCACATATTAATTCTAGGAGCTTTTTTTGGTACATTCTTGGGATTTTTCATGTAGACAATTGTGTTGTCTGTGAATAGAAACAGTTTCATTTATTACTTTCCAATCTGTATGCTTTTTATTTGTTTTTCTTCCCTATTTCAGTGGCTAGGATTCAGGATGGTGTTGAATAGGGTGGTGACAGCAGATATACAATCTTATGAGAAAAGCATTTAGTTATTCAACATTAAGTATGCTAACTATAGTAGGGTTTTTGTAGAAGTTCTTTATCAGTTTAAGAGGGCCTCTTGGAGCTGAGGATGGCCTCCAGCCAACAGACAACAACAATACAGGGCCTTCAGTCTTATAGCCAAGGGAAATTGATTCTGCCAGTAGTCTAAGTGAGCTTGGAAGTGTGTTCTTCCTCAGTGATATTAATTTCCTATTGCTGCTGTAACAAATTTTCACAAATTTAGTGCCTTAAAAATACAAAATTTTAATCTCATAATCCTGAAGATGAATCCAAAATGAATCTTATGGGGCTAAACATCAAGGTTGGCAGGGCTGTATTCCTTCTGAAGATTCTGGGAAAGAATCTATTCCTTGCATTTTCCAGTGTATAGAAGCCACCTGTACCTTTGGCTTGTGGCCTCTTCCTTTGTCTTCAAAGCCAGCAGTGAGTGGTCAAATCTTTCTCACATTGCATTACTCTGTTTCCATTGTCACATCTCCTTCTCTGACTCTTATAAGGACTCTTGTGATTACATTGAGCCCACTCAGATAATCCAGAATAACCCTCATTTTAAGATCCTTAATTTAATTGCATCTGCAAAGATGCTTTGCCATGTAACATAGTTACAGATTCTGGGGATTAGAATTCCCTAATCCTAATAATAGATTGACATATTTTGAGGACAATTTTTCTGTCTACCAACTAATCAAACCTCCATATGAGAGTACAGCCCAGACAACATCTTGACTGCAGCCTAATGGGACCCTAAACATAGCATCCAGCTAAACCACATGGGAACTCTTAACCCATAGAAAGTGTGAGATATAAATGTATTATTTTAAACCACTATATTTCTGGTAATTTGTTAAAACAGCACAGAAAACGAATACAGTGGGCATATAGTTGTTCATAATGTTTTCTCATTATCCTTTTTAACATCTGTATTTTCTGTAGTGGTTTCCCTTATTTCATTCCAGATATTGGGAATTTGTGTTTCTCTCTGACCACCTTGGTCAATCTGGCTGGAGGTTTGTCAGTTTTATTGATCATTTATAAGAACCAGCTTTTGTTTTCATTGATTTTCTCTATTGTTTTTCTGTTTATAATTTTCAAAACCTCTGCTCTTACCTTTATTATTTTCTTTTTATTTCCTTTGGGTTTAATTTACTCTTCTGTTTTTAGTAGGTGGAAGCTTAGATTTTTTTGGTCTAAGACCTTTCTTCTTCCTTTTATGTTTTTAAATTGAGACATAACTTGCATATTATAAAATTCACCTTTTTAAAGTGTACACTTTAGTGGTTTTCAGTATATTCACAGTGTTGTACAATCATCACCATTATCTAATTTCAGAACATTCTTCTTTACTGATATGTGTCCCCAAATTTTGATATGTTGTATTTTCATTTCCATTCAATTAAACATTTTTTGGGGGGGAGGTTATAGCTCAGTGGTAGAGCACATGCCTAATGTGCATAAGGTCCTGGGTTCAATCCTCAGTACCTCTATAAATAAGAAACAAACAAACAAACAAACAAAAAAACAAACCTAACTACCTCCCACCTCAAAAAATACTAAATTTTTTTCCTCATTTCCATTGAGACTTAACACTATGATGCATGGGTTATTTGTAGTATCCTGTTTAGTTTTCAGCTGTTTTAGGATTCTGCCACATATCTGTCATTGATTTTTATTTCACTATAGTCCATTACATATGGTCTATATGTTTTCAAATATTTTAAATTCATTTAAGTTTTATTTTATGTCCTAGAGATGTGGTGTACCTTGATGAACTGTTCATGTACACTTTAAAATAATTTTGTTAGCTGGATTACGCTATGAATGTCTCTTAGGTCAAACTGGTTGATAGTGTTGTTCAGGTCTTCTGTATCCTTATGGTTTTCTATTGTTCTATTGATTACTGAGAGAGTAGTATTTACTTGTGAATTTGACTTTTAGTAAGTAAAATACAAGTTTTTGCTTTGTGTATTTTGAGCAACTGTTGGTAGGTGTGTTCACCTTTAGGACTGTGATGCTACCTTTATGAATTAACCCTTTAATCATTACAAAATGTGGCTCTTTATTCCTGGTAGTGGCCCTCATTCTGAAATCTACTTTGTCTGACATTAGTATAGCCACTTCAGCTTTCTTTTTTTAATTAAAAAAATTTTTTTATTGAGTTATAGTCATTTTGCAATGTGTCAATTTCTGGTGTACAGCACAATTTTTCAGCCATACATGAATATACATATGTTTGTTTTCACACTTCAGCTTTCTTTTGATTAGAGTTTCCATGGTATTAATTTTTCCATCTTTTAACTTATGTATATCTTGTTATTTAAAGTGTATTTCTTGTAGATAGCGTATAGTTGGTTATTATTTTTATCCAATATGACA